AGATGTGTATAAGAATGAACTTATATATCAAGGTTAGTATTGCTCATCATGTACAGCCCTACTTTGCAATTTCAACTTGAACAATTTTTTTGTTTAAATCTAACTATTTTTTGGGAAACAATAAAATATTTATATCTATATCTATTTGAAATTATGAACAATTTGGAATTGGTCAAATGAAGTCCAATCAAGTCTAAATATAAAACTTTTCTTTTAATAAAAAAAAAAAAATAAGAAAAACCCATTTATTAAATCCAGGCACTTGATTAAAATTTATAAAGGCTAAAGGGCATCGGAACAACAAGGAAACACCGACTGACTATTACTACCAAGTGATTTCTTCATTAGTTGCTGTATCTAATAAAATAATTATCATGTTATGTCTTCCGCACACCCATCCTGTTCTCAACCAATAGCATCCTAACATGCTTCTTAAATTATTGTAAGCCTGAATCGTTGGCAAAGCATTAAATAGCTGTAGCCTGTGATTTGGCAATGACCCCTAAAACTAGAAGTGCTTATTTCACACTGCACTGTAAAGCATCCTCCCATAGTGCGATTTTTCTTTTCTCTGATAATTGTTAAGTAGAAGTTTGGAGCCGATTCGACCTGCCAAACTTTAATTATAATAGGCTTAGCAAACGATTTACTACAACAGCAGCAGCGGCAACGACAACGGCGGTAACGACGAGGTGTTGACTAGCTCTTACAGTAACTTGCTTCTTTTAAGTCCAAGAATATGTACGCTAAATTTTTAGTTGATTTGATTATTATATTAAATATGTGAATGACAAAGCGAAACCAAAAATTCATCTGAATATATTTGTCTTTTATAAGTATACGTGCAAGACTACTTGACATTTGATAGCATAATGAGTCACACCAAATCAGAGACAAAAATATGATATTGTCGGCACAGAAACTGCACATGTATTAAATGATGTTGTCTGTGGGTTATTGTAGTCTCTCTCTAATCCCGAAACTCCCTCAAACCCTTCACCGATACATCAATTCCTTTTTTCGAACCTAATTAAAATATTCTGTTAAGAAACTTTTGGTTTTACTTTTAATCATCTAAAATTAATTTGTACCATGTAATACCATATTTTACTGTATACTTGAAAGTGGGGGTAAGTCCTCTAGAACATAATAATAACTAAATAACTAAATTGAAAAAAAAATATATTTAAAGATACTAAATTTTTTGGAATATATAGCCCTTTCCTAGTGGTTTACAAAGTGCCTAAATAATATCGAGGCTGAGATTTAAAATTAAGTCACTATACTAGAAGTGATGGCAACCTAGTCTTGTCAAAATTCAGTCTTTTACAATAACTATTTTGATGCAAAGTGCAACACAACTCATGTTGTAGTGGGTAGCAAACATTAAACTAACCACAAATCTTATTGATTAGGAAGTGTTAAACTACACTAAATGCTGGGGAAAGGGTGGGGAAGGGAAATTTTTCCGGAAAACAATTGACCCAAAATACGGTAAAGGGCTGATGAGTATAATCGAAAAAGATGCAAAAATAGCGATACAGTCAGCTTTCATTGGTTGTTGGCTGAATTCCAAACAGAATGAAACATATCCGTCTTCAAATGGAGAATTGGTCACAAAGGCAAAATAAACGACACTCTCAATTTCCACAGAAACATTTTTCTGCATGTATAAAGAATAAAATCCAATAGATTTGAAATTTGCTCATCGTCAAAAACATAATGGTTTGAGACTAATAACTTTAGGAATGTTTTAAAATACTTATACCTAACATCTAATTCTATGGATCTTTCTAGATTTTTGCTGATATAAAAAAAATGCATCAATTTTAGCGACAGGTCATTGTATTGCATAGGATTAGGATGATTTCTAGGCAAGTTCTTCAATATTATTAAAAATGCATCAAGGTCAGGCAGGGCAATGCACTAGCGCCTAAAATCTTCGGAAATCTTTTAAATACTAAATGTGGTTTTTTATTAAATGATACGTCTTCTTCACTAAGGCCTAGAATTACTACTTTGTCTTCATCTACCTGAGCCAATCCATATTATATTATAATATAAGGTTAATACAAAAAACTCATTTAGGAAACTTAATTTCATTAAAGTCAAGTGTCACATTTCAGTGGCAGATTCAGGAGGGTGGTGGGGAGGGAAGAAGAAAATTATATTCAAATTTAAGTCTGAGAGTACAATTTTCAGCCATCTAGAGGTATCATAATACACATTTCTTGCCTTAGCCTCAACCATGGTGGCAATGACGTGGTCTAGACTATCCATCTATGAAACTCACATTACACGGTACCAACGCTGTTCCAATATAGACAATGGGTCGTGCTCATATTATTTGTTATATTTTTATTATTCATTATTTTCACTTGACTCGCATAAATAATTTTGTTCGAAGAACATTTTATGCAGTTTTACTTCGCAGCACTTCACTTGCAATTTGCAATTTCTAGTAATGTATTCATACTCTTAACATTATAAGCTTTAAAAATGATAAATTTAATTTACTTGAATTGACTACCTACAGTATATCCAAAGTTATCAAAAAAAGTATTATGGCTTTTCTGTACTAAAGTATAATAATAATAATAATAATAATAATAATAATAATAATAATAATAATAATAATAATAAAAACTTTATTTAACTATGGAAACTATTCCGAGTGCAAGAACATATAGGCCATGTTGCACCGCAGGAAGCCTTACTCGCAAAAGCAAGGTCATGTTCCGTCTAAAATTTTGACCTTAAACAATGTCATTCATGTTTTCTGCGGCTAATCTTGAAAGAAAAAAAAGTGCTAAAAAAACTGAAGCTTCGATAATTAAAAATACTGGTTTAAACAAAAAAAGAACTTGCCTCTTGACTCTACAGGAATAGGAGAAGGTATTGTGTTCTGCCTTGGTGGCTGGGGGAGCCCTTCTGTGCCTATCTCCTCATAATGCTGTTGCAAAGATATTCCAGTTACAGGTAATGTGCAGGACTGTTGTGGAACAATAACCACATCTGAAGGTGCAATCTGAAAAAAAAAAAAAAAAAAATTACTTTACTATATTACTATTATTACTATATTAACAAACAATCCAATCCCATTTTCCTTGTCTATGAGGGTGGGGGTGGGTCCTGGGCAACCCTACCGCCCAAGCCTTTGTTGCTTGCTTCCTCCCAAAGTGCATACTGGACCACCCAACGTACATACCGTGTCCACCCTGAGTGACTGCCTTTTATGATTCTGTCTTGTATAATAATCCAAGTAGGATTGTCTAGTAGGACATTTCTTTTTGAACTTCTGAAGTATTATGGGGAGAATGAGAAAACAAAATTTATTGGTCTATGTACAGTACAATGTAGCCAAAAATATGTACCAGAGGAACTATGGACATGAATCTCTTATATTAACTACTATAGGATTCATATACAATGTAAACCACTTATATACCAAAATTCATTTTTTAATACTGTATTATATTTAAATTCCATCACTTTACTGTACAATGTATCCAATTGTACAGTATATGACCTTTTGTTAATAACTATAAGATTTTAAAATAAATGTGAAACCAAAAATTATTTTTCTCTGGCATACTAAATCTGAACTCTTACACAAAATTAATTAAAAAAAAAAAAAAAAAAAAAACATTCATTGTCAAGTTAATTTAATAGAATATATTGATTCAATTTATCAACACAGGACAGTAGTTAATAGAAAATAATCCAAACAGGAAGTCTATAACCACAAAAAAAGCAATAGAGATTAATATCATCTGTCCTTGTATCACAAGTCTTCATAAAGTTGTCAATTTTTTATTCAAAAATGTAGAAATGATGTTAATGAATTGGTTTTTTTTTCTTAAATGCGTAAAGCACTGTACATTGTAAAAAGCACCACTCTGAGCGTTTATGTGAACATGGTTTATAAATGCTTCTTAATCATGATAATCATGGATATATCAACAACGTCTTCCTATGTACAGTACTTACAAACTTTATTTACGGAGCAGGGCATAATAGGGCACCACTGCCAGGCATACATACGGAGCAAAGCATGAGACTCTACCTCCAGGCTTTGAGAAGTTTTAAAAAAATACACATACTGTACTGACAACTGAAAACATCACACATCAAGTTGAGTTGGATTTTGGTGTGAACACCGAAGACAACCCACGAAAAGTCTGAAGAACTTATTTCTTCTAGTGGTGACAACGAACAATCCCCTACTGTACCCTCTTCCAAAGAGTGTACTGGGATTCTTTTATTCCTTAAACTTGCGCATGGGACCAAAACCTCTCTTCCATATAAACACGTTGGGCTTTACTTACATCTCAGCCCTCTGGCTCAAACACTAGGAGAGCAGAGGAAGGAATTGAACCAGGTACCTGAGGTTAACAATGATCTCCATGGTTCATTGCACATACAGTGGCTACCACCAGTTGAGTGAGCTATGCTAATCTCAACCTTCAATTCCTTCAAAACAATTTTGATTGTACCGTTTTGTGTGTAAATTTAAAAGAGTAAAATGATTTAAAACATGTTGATAAAGATATGTTCGGAATTAGCGTAAATGTATTTTATATGTTAAAATACAAAATAAAAATACAAATAAAAAACAGCATAAAAGAAATGATTTAGTACTACAATGCAGGAGTACAAATATAATACGATTATAAAACACACACAGGGTCTCAAAGCAGTGGAGGAAAACCATATTTGATATGTTATACTTTTTAAAAACACAAAATTGATGTTTGACAAAAAAATTGGGAATGGTAATGAAATATAGAATTTTGAATATTTAAAAACTGGGGGAAAATGGGCATGACCACCCTTTTTTCCACCATTTTATTTTTGACTGGCAATTAACTTTGAAATTCACATTACAGTAGTAATGGCAATATATGAGTGCCTATCAACACAGAAAATCCAAAACACAGCACTATTTTGACATGATGAAACTTTTGCGATAAATGCAATATGCTATTGACGAACTCTATTTTAAAAGTGAAAATACACAGCAACACTAGAGAACCACTACATTATGAGTCATCCAAAGTTAATGAGCAAAAAAAAAAAATCCATGAATTACGTGAAAATATGGTGATTAGAAAGCTAAGATCCTGAGCCCATGGGGTGCATCTCCTAGGTACAGAGGAGATTAAACTTTTCTCTTTTCAGGTCAAAAGTTTTCCTACTAAAGTACATTTTTAATTCATGAAATTCAATAATTATAGCAGCCTAGAATGAATCATTTTATAGGGAAATTAAAACTTCACTTGTAAAAGTCTGCTCAACACAAAAATATAACCAACATCTTGAAACCATAATAGCAATGAAAAAATTCTAAAATCCTCTTTTAACAGCTTAACAACCAATATGTTTAACAGTGAAAATACGTTTCAGGGAAGGGTGTATTAACAAAAATGGGAAAACCTATTTCAAAATCAATTTTAAATTAAACTAATAAAAAATGTTTTCCCAGTTCATGTCATTCAGTTCAACAATCTTTAGCACTTGTATAATTGCGGGCAACCTTTCCAATGCCTATTGAGAAACATAGCCAACTAAACATATCTATTTTTATCCCTTAAATATTCCGGTCAGCCTATTAATTATTACTTCACGGTCAAATGAGAGAGAAAGCAAGTGTTGCTCAACATATTAATACTGTGCAAGAGAATATACTGTAGATTTTCACAAAACCTAGTTTTCAGCAACAATATAAAACAGTGGCAGACCCAGGAATTTTAAATATGAGGGGGGGGGATGCCTGCAGAGACTTTCACAGATGGAAGGAATGGAAGGAATGGTTGGGCTGAGATAAGAAAATGATTGTGGCACTTCTAGATGGGCAGAAATGATGCTCTGCAACTTAAATTTGAATATAATTTTCTTTTTTTCAAATAATTTATAAAATATAGGAGTGAATCCGCCACTGTACAGAAAAATTAAAAAATTAACTTATCATTTTAAAAATTTAACTCTTTCCTTCATAACATGAACATAACAATTTCTTAACATTTTTCAAACATCAAAGCCTGATTGGTCAACCCTATAATAAATTGCTATTTTATATAGTCTTTATGATCTTCTTGTAGTTGCCATTTAGAATTTTTATTCATTTTCCAATCACCTGGAACACTATACGATGCAGTTGGCAGTATGTATGTTTATGTATTTTAAAAGGGTCCCTTCAAAGGCTGTAATCAGATTCTAAAACATTACTGATAAAAACTAAATATATCCAATAATACAATAAAAAAAAGGTTTTCTACACCTACCTTGTATGATATACTATTAGTTCTTCTAATGTGCAAACGTCCAAACACAGCCTTATACGCAATTTGAATTTTTCTACGTGCATTCAATAAAACTTTTTGTCGCCAATTTGACGCTTCCGATGTAATTTCACGGGTAAATAGATGTGTTAATTTCATAATGTTAAATTTTTTTACAAAGCTGTCTTGGGCGGAATGTTATTACTATATAATTTTTGATATTATACCAGTTTAAACATCCACACACAATTTCACCGACCAGCGGTTGTGTGATCAACAACAGACTCGAATGATTCAAAAGCGGCAGTTAAGTTACAGAATCTTGATACACCGTGGATTCTAAAGCCAGGACTAATAGGGTCTTCCTCTTACTCGTATCAGTAAAAGACACTTAGGAGCTCGCTGATTGGTCATTACGGGTAATTACGCTCAAAATGATAAATTCTGATTTGATAGCTTTAGTTGAGTCATTTTTGACTAATAAAACAAATGACATCATTTTTATCACATGAGAAATAACTGATCTTGGCACCTAGCTAAGAGGCTGACGTGAAGAAACTAGCAAAGTAAATGGTAGAATTTCCCTATATTGTTAAAATACTAATATCTATGATGATTTCATGAATAGAGAGAATCCTATGTGGTTTTCATATAATTAGATATGCCATGTATTAAACTGAATCTCTACTGAACAATATGTACTCATAAATAATAATAATAATAATAATTAATAATAACAACAATAATTGTCCACTTGGTTACGCCGTGGATTTTATCACGTGAGAAATAACTGATCTTGGTACCTAGCTAAAAAGAAGACGTGAAAAAACTGGCAAAGTAAATGGTAGATCATTACTAATAAATAAATTTAAAAATTGCAGCTTTAGAATACTAAGAAGTCAGCTAACTGTTAGGTCCCTGGATCTGGCAATGTTGCCTTCAGATAATAACCAGTTCAATTAACTCAATGACATAATTCTAAGGGTACGGTAATTAAATCATATTCTTATATGGACAGCCAATTACTAAACGAAAATTCAACCAATCAAAAATAGCCTAAGAGCAGAGAAGGCTCTCAACCTACAGATTTTAACATGAAGGTAATACAGCAGATAATGATGACAACATTGAAGAACCTTGATCAGGAATGTGACAGTTCCCTTCACTAAAAATATGCATAATGCTTAAAGTGTTATAGAAAATTTACTATTAAGTTTGCCCATGATATGACATCATAAAATCTGAAAAAAAAAAATAATGTAAAAGACTATTTAAAAATTTACAGTACTTCAAAGCATTACAAAATATTAGGTGATGAATTCAGGGTAAATGTGATGACCAGTTGATGAATCACATAGTATGACCAGGCTGTTAGGCCTATTATGTGGGAGGTCCTTCAAAGAAACTTGCATTCTTGTTTTAACTATCATAGCATTTGTCACTATGCTATTTAATAGCTGCAATTGCACAATGTGGTGGTGATATGCTTAAATCTAAATGGAAGTTTGCAAATGTCCATTTCTTAAGACTTTCAAAAATCTATGCTGTGTAGATCATATGCTGGTGCAAATATTAAACTCACTTTTTAATTAGTGCATTTAACTTATAATATAAATAAAATTATTAAAATACGTTTTTGTTTTTTTAACAATATAAATGAATTTACAGCACCGTATCAAATAATGCAATGAAATGCGTGACTACAATCTGCACTCAGATTGTACGTTTGAGATGGTTTGAGCATGTCTATCATGCTTATCATTATTACTATTATTATTATTATTATTATTATTAGTATTATTATTATTATTATTATGTTTATCATGTTTATCATATTGTCAATCATGATGGTAGGTTGGCTATGGTATTATAAAAATTAATAAGTAGAATACAAAGGATTACCAATATTTATGAATGGAATTTAACATCTTTCATAATAATCTTGATGGAAATCTTGTAATTGTATCAATTTCGGCCCAACAGCAGTAGAAAGTTGCTTTAGTGCGGTAGGTTCTGTTACTACCACGATGAGAAGCGCGGAAATGAGACGGAGTATCGTGGTCTACACTTCCAAAAGATGCAGTGCACTCTTAGTGCACAAGCCAGATGAGTAGCCTGGACATCCGGCTTTAATTAAAGTCCTTAACATCCAAGTACACTTTGTTCTATCAACAAACCTAAGTCTAAGTCTAGGTGAGAAAGTCTCTACCAGCACCTACAGTAAAGGTAAGGATGTAGTACAGCAACGTTCCTTACCGCTCGGCCACTCAACTCACAGTACAGTATATCATACTGTATTTATATTTGTCGTATCTCTTTCCCTCATTACTTTAAAATGTGCTAAATTTTATGTCCACCGGCTTTGTCAATGCACTATAACAGAATTTAATTTGGAAAAGTAAATCTAAGAATAAATGCTGTTAAAGGCATTTCATGAAGTCAGAAGTATATGATTTAAAATGACATAAATGGTGATGACACTAAGGTTTCAAGTTGTTTGTTTAGAGAGGGATTTTCTCAAGCAATATAAAGTACTTAAATTTTAAGGTGGTACAGTTTACTCTTCAACACTGTAGCAATCTGAATTTTAATTATATTTATTGTCTGCCCTGCATGTGTATTTTGATGGTGGAATAAAGAATGGAATGAAATCTGTGTTACCTGATCACTGTGTAGTCAAAAAAGCCTGTATAAACCAAGAATCTGATGATAATATGTTGTCCCATATAAACATGTAAATTTTTGTAAAATTATATTCTCAAAATGAACAGCTGTTCTCTCATAAGTATATGTCAACACTAAGTGAGGTTTTATGTAAAAAAATGTGCCCTTCCATGTAAATGGGTGTGATATGACATCATATGCCCAATAAATGGGCAAATCAGAGTTTTTGTCACTGTGAGTTTTGTCAGCATAGATCATCTGAGAGATAGTATTTATTACCTTCCGGTAGCAATATATAACTAAAGGTGACTAAGTGAAAATACTATGGAACTTCCCAAAGAAATTCAAAATGTGGTTCTCCATAGGTAATAATTCCAATGAAAAATGTGAAGCACATAAAGTCCTTGACAATGTGAGCTTAGACCAACATGATAAACAAGTAATAGCATACAAACAAATTACTTATTTACTGTTGTGGGTAAAAATAGGGACGTACTGTAATTACCCCAAGATGGGTGATCAATAACCAATTTCGCAGACGAAAAAATGCAGTTAACAACGCAGACAAACTGTCTGAATAAATGGTTAGAAATAATTGATTATTTTGAAAGCAGAAACAAGCCAATCCAATAATGGAAAAAGTTTTTAAAATGATTAGCAACTGACAAGGATCCTTGAATTGGATGTTATCATATCCTCCCTCAAAGCAACCAGGGATGTGTTAAAAAGTGGCTTTCTCTGAATCAATGATCCGAAGGTCTCACATTGCGACTATACAAGCTTATGTGAGACTTTTTTTATACCTTGTTTCGCAAACTTATTATTTTTTTAAGATCATAAAAAAAATAAAAATAAAAGACTGGTTTCCCTATTTAGCAAAAATTTTTGACAAAAACATCCAAGCGGGGACAAAATTAAAATAAAATTTTGTTGGTGAATGTAAACAGTGTAGTAATGGGACGGTTGAACGCATAAATTTATACAATGAGGAAGAAATATACATTTCAAGGCAGCGGCGGGGATAATAAAAAGAAAAGCTTTTATTTTTTTCTGAAATTTCCATTTTTTTGTGGTGGCGAGTACACTAATGGGCAAAAATAAAATGTTATTTTTATTCCAGTAGAATTAAGAATTAAGTCCAGTAGAATTGTATATGGTTGGGATCAATTACCAATATAGTCTTATGATTATGCGTGTTGTAGCAGGTATTTACAGTGAAGTTAACAGGCGTTTATTTAGGTATCCGTACCAATTTTACACAAAAAAAAAATAAGTGCCTTCCCTCATATACATGCCTCCCTCGAACAAGCACCCTAAAATTTTTTTCTCAACAATAAAAATCTCGAGGCATTTATATTCATATAAATATGGTATATTGTTATTTTGATGGTCATCGTATCTCACCATGGATCCAACCACACTTTTTATTCTAGCATTCCAAAACATGAGAATTTTCCTCTATCTATCAACCCAAGAAGTAGAAGTTAACAACTCCCTGCTTATACCTACACATTAAATTTCCTGTCAGGCAACTTGAATTAATGAAGACATCAAGATCAAATAATTCTTCATCATTAATACTTCATATGCATGCAAGCCAAACATTATGGCCCTTTTCTGACCCCGGATCTACTATAAAACTGTAAAATGCGGTACTCTTTATTCTCGCATTCCAACATAAGAAACTTCCTCTCTCAACCCAAGAAGTTGCATACCCTGTACAGCCACATTCAATTTCCTATCAGGCAAATCTATCAAGATCAAAGAATTCTACCTCATTGACTTGAAATGCACGCAATCCAGTTTTGAACCCTTGAAAACCATGCGAGATAATCAAAACCTTTATTAACCCCTTCCATTCATTTCTATTTATATTTCAAAGGCTTACATCTTGATGATTTGGCTTTTATTTTTTATCCAATCAGTGCATGACTAAGGTATGAGGAGAGGCGAATTTCTAAAGGACATATCAGGTGTATACGTTCAGAGAGTACTGATAAAAACTAACTGATTTAGTTGACCCTGAAATACAAATAGTCCTACATAAATATATCACATCTATATTTTCATTGGTCCATCCTTCCATTTACACAAATACTCATAATTTTCTGGATAAATTACTTTTGACGACCTTGGTTTCAATGTCGCATGTTTGTGCTTTAACCATACCAATATGTTACACACAATTATAAAGTATCTGTTTTTTTGGTATTTTTTTTTTTGAGTGAAGCACCAACAGCTCCTAAAACATTTTTTGAACCTTCTAATAGTTGCACCTGTTTCTACTAAAGTATATTAATTTAAAACTATTTATAATCACTAATTTACTGACATCCATGTATAATTATGGCTCCATCTTTTGAGAACCAATGAATAACGAGAAAAACTAATTGAAAAAAAGATGAAAAAAATTTTAATATTTTTTCAAGCATTTTTAGAAATGCAGGCAATAAACAGAAGGAAAATGTAGGAGGACAAACTATTAAGAAAAAAGTGTAAAACTGTTTGATTAAAAAAAAAAGACAAAAAGATGCTCTCCGTGATTGCAGCCATTTTAGTATTTAAAAAAATTGAGGGAGCTGTAACAGATACTTGCGATTACTTTTCTGATCTGACTGTCTAGAATATACCAAAAGAATTTCTTCTGTAGTCTTACAGAATACCAATATAAACATGGGAAATACAAACAACTATCTTGGGCCTAGCTGACCCCTAGTAGAACATTTAGTGGCTGGAGCATGCCTGGATATGTTAGCACAACTTTGAATAAAAAAAGGCCTGGCTCACAGCCCAAAATTAAATAGTAAGGTCATGATGATTAATGACACTAGATTAAATAAATGGGTCTCTTCTTATACAGTAATACTCTAGTGCAAAATTAGCATGCAGGGGCCTGGCTGGGCAGCAGCACATAATACTGTAAAATAGAGGGCATCATAGCCAAAAATTAAATGGCGAGGCCTGCCTACCTAATAGCAAAGGGTCCTCTTAAGCAACAAATTGAATAGTAGGGCATGCCTTATTAGCAAAATTATTTCAATAGCTAGGCCCATAGCACAAACTTGAAAAATCTGGGCCAGTTGCATGGTTAAATAAGTAACTAGAGCTTTCCACATAACATTATGTGAAATAGCTTGACCCTGGCTCACAGTGCAGAATTAAGAGACAGGCAGGACTGGGAATGATTGGCTATCATGATCCTATGGTTCACAAAGAGCAGGACAAAGGGTAGAGTGGGTTGGGTTAGGGCGTTCCCTTACCTGTTCTAAGGGACCAAGAAGAAGCGAGACAGAGTACTGCTCCTGGGGGGAGGTGGGAGAGAAGAGTCTCCCTTCCACCAACCCTGGATCCAGGGGCATATCTAGGGGCTGCACAGCAGATGCACCCACCCCAATAAAGCTTCCGTCCCCACCCCTGGCCCAGTCCCTCCCACGTTGAAAATGTTCGAAGCAAAAAAACAAAAATACCACACTCAAGTAGTTAAAAATCACTTCATATCACCATACTTTGACAGCTAAAGCCCATCAATTAATCATCGAGCTCCTACTTCAAATCCGCGCTCCCCCACCCCCCGTTTCAAGACTCTGAGATTGTGAAAAGTAATCAATTTTTATATTTTTAATTTTTATATTATTAGTTTAGCATTTTAACAACTTAATTTGCAATTCAGTTTCTCAACTGCAATGTATTATTTAATGTATATATGATTTTAATGTGAATAAAGATACCAAGATATATACACACAACTGCCAGTATCTGCCACTGATAACCGTTCAAAGGTAAAACTTACCACTCTTGAGTTTCTGTTTGACATTGGTGGTAAAGCAGGGGGTCGGAGTTCAGAGGTTGTTAAGACTGACTCAACTTGCTCGTAGAGTTGATCATAATCAGCTGAGCTTTCTTCATCAACAGAAGTGTAAACCGATGGATTCTGGCGTCTTTCTCGCTCTTTCCTCTCCCGGATACTTTCTAAACTTTCTCTGGCACTAACCTAAAAAAAAACACATAAATAAAAATGTAAAAACCCCGATTAATGTGAAAATAGATGGAAAAAAGTGAAATTGATAGCAAATATATAATAATTTTATTTCATTAAATTTATTTCTTCATATATACAAGAAACTGTCAAAAATTATGGAATAAACAAAACTTGGATTGGGTAGATAGCAGAGTTGGTGTGTGGTGGATAAATGGATGGGTGGGATGAACCAAAGGGTGGGTAGATGGATGAATGAATGAATGAATAAATATATAATAATAATAACATGAAATATCAATATCTTAATTTACTTAAACTAAAGGATCCACTTATTAATCGCAAATAAAATATGTATATGGTGACTCCGAATAATGACAAACAATTATGGCCTAAAGTTTGTCATTCTTCAGAGTCACCATACTCATATTCTATAATTTGCTTACCTGCGTATATGGTGGTTCAGTTCTATTGCTAGGTCCAGCCACTGGAAAGTCAATAGGTAAAACCTCGGGGGGTACTCTTGGTAGTGCTGGCTGTGCCGACCTACTGTATTTGATAACAATATTTAACAGATGTACAAAAAATACATAATAATTATATGCATCTAAAAAGAACAGTATTTTCATGCAATAAATAATGAACGTTGCTTGAACCGAAGTGTGCCTCTAAAAATCAATAAAAGATGATATACATGAGAATTTAATTGGCAATAAATGTTTGTTATTGTCCACACCATCAAATTTTCTTTGAAAATATAGAGTCATGATGTACCTATTATGAGTCATGATGTACCTATTATGGTCATGTGATGTTATCATGACCATATATAGGCATGTCACATGTTTTTGTCAAATGGAATTTGATAGTTGAGACAGGGCTTAAGAGAAGCTTTGGAAGCATAGTGCAGCAATTTTGTCAAGAACTATAATTCTAATGGACCATTCCAGTGTGTCGAACTTAACAACTTATTCAAGTGCACATATTGTAACACAAACGCATGTATTTGCATGTTTTAAAACCGTAGTTTTGTGGACAATATCCAATGGGCGGGGACTTTTAGCGGGAAGTTCCTACGATTTCAACACGCAAGTTAAAATGTTACATAGTCCCACCCAACAGCAAGCAACTTTACGCTGATGAAACACTTTAAGGAAAATTTAGGCGTATGAATATCCAATGAAACATTAAATGTGGATTTATATTTTTTAAATTTATTTATTCAGCTTTGAGCACTAGAGCAAAGGATATGCCAAACAGTGAACTATTAAATTACTCTTCGATATGGCAATCCCCTCACAAGACAACAGGGGCTCTATGGACAAGTAGACCGGGGTAACCCCCTATGCATCTCGAAAGATGTACTGGGTTCCAGAAAGTGCACATGAGCCAATTGTGTACACTGGGCCTATGGTTTATAGTCCTTATCCAGGAAGAATCCGGAACCATAGATGAGCGTGCCGTTCGAACCAGCGTCGATATTATGGCTGTGGGTTGCGGTGCTCCTGCCTTAACAACTCAGAAATAGGACACACCATGTTTTATCCAGTTTTATTAAAATAATAAATACATATTACACAGTTCTGTTACTTACCTTTCTGACTGGTTATCATGATCTACTGGTCGAGGTGAATGATTGCCGGGGCAATTCATAACGGTCGTTTCATCAACACTTTCATAGTCTTTCTGTTCCTATTTCACACATATAATCAAACAATGCAACTGTTATTATTTTTCTCAAACAAATGTGGCAAAGACAAGCCAAACCAGTCACTCGTCGCAAAAATAAATTTTTAGTTATTAATACAGGGTTGAACAGTAAAATGAGAGCTATAAAATGGTAAAAGAATCATTTAAATCCGACACTTCGTTATGAAGTTACACGAGTTTAAACATACAGCTGTTTAAAGAACAATATTTGAGAAATCAGCCTTCAGAGTTTACGATTTCAGGCATTTCTTAGGTAGAAACCATCACCTAATCGTTAAAAATTGTTGTTTTAACATTGAAAATGAGGAAAATAACAGCATAGCATGATGTATAGATATATAAAGGTTAGTTTAGTGCAATAAAATAGATTTCCAAAATTTTGAAATTCTAGCATGTTTTGGCCATTATCTTCAAAACAGGATTTGCGACGAGTGACTGGTTTGGCTTGTCTTTATTTTTTACTTCTTTTAAAACCCAAAATATAAGTCAATTAAAATTTTAAAAAATATGTGACTATATACACCATTTTCGCAAAATTTGAAATGAAAATTTCCGAGAACCTGGCAACTACCACTGGGGGACTTCCAGAAGTCTACAATTTCACTCTATATAGATACGATGGATTAATTAAACGATATAACTAAATTACTAAAGAGCACAAATATTTTGAAACGGAAAGAGAGCGAAATGGTGATATTGAAAACAACTCTATGTCTTAAAAAGCTATTTAAATGTTTACATACAGTATTTAGCAAAACATCGTATCTGTTGTCTACTGCTGCTATAGCAGGGGTCTAGCGGCGCTATCCCCTGCGCGGTGCTATACTTGTAACAGCCAGCTGCTCAGGCTGGGTTGCTAGAACTCCCCCAGTGAAAAGTTGCGAGACGTTGGTTCTGCGGTCTCAAAATAGACCCGATAAAATGGTGTGTAAAAAGGAATCACAAAGTTTTAGCACAATCCAGTTTTATTACTGTAAATTCATTAAATACTTTAACTGCTTTTGTCATCATCACTTTATAAACAAAATTATGGCTTCCAATTATTCTTTATTTGATAGTTATATGGCCTAATGGGCTTCACATAGATTTATTATCTAACCTGAAGATAATAACAGTTCTGCAAGTATTTGTAGTAAAGAAAATTAAATATATATGTTTACATGTATGCTGAAAGTGTGGAAATGCATGATGGTGTCTATCCTAGTTAAGTGTTTAATATACTGTAAACGAGAGTTCAATAAAAACCAAAATTCTATTTAAGCATACAGTAATGACTAAGAAAGGACTTTAATATAAACATTTAATGCAGAAAACTAGAGTATGAACTGCAAGCCATTTACAAAACACACACGGAATAGACTACAGTAAGAATATGCCAGGAGGTTCACCATAATGAACATAATATCAGTTTATCAGCATACTGTATATATCAGTCGTATTCAGAAAATTTAGAAGTTTTGGCAGCATCTTAATCTTATTTGAAATAATATCTACAATTATCTTTCTGACTCATTTTAGTTGTAAAGCACAGAGAAGTATTGTATATTATGCTATGGTTTAATATTACTATAATCAAACTTATTATAATTGCTATAACAAAAATGAAAATCATATTTGTTCAATTCAAGAAAATTTTCTAAAATGAATGGATTTGTATATTATATACTTCTTGTTGACATTAAAGTTTAATTGCAGTGGTATGGTGCCCTCTAGCATTAGATTGAGCTGATCATAAATATTTGACAATTTGTATGCTCAATCTTCAGTGGTCATCATATCATATTCATGATTCTGCATCCAAGTAGAATTCCTTAATGCATTCAGAAAAATGGACTTAATATGGACAGAGAAGATTCAGCATATTGTTATAATAAGTCGCCAGGGGCCCACTTCAATTTTCTAGTTATGAATTGATCTTTACGTTACGATTGACAATTGTATATTCATTTTACTCAGAATATTATTATCATCATGATGCAAATTAGAAATAAAAATCAAATGAACAATAATTAAATGAAAAATATAAACATAACTATAAAGAGAAGAACTGATTTAATTTTGATAAATGCAAGAACATTACAATGGAAATGTATAAAAAAAAAAAAAAATAGTTTTGTGATCCAGTTTTAAAATGTTGTCAGTTGAAAATCATTAAAATGTATTCTAATGAAGCTTTTATTCTTCCTCCATCAAGGTGTTACCTGATTTAGTTTTACAATAGTATAAATGGTTTATTTAGATTAAATGTAAAGTTGTTGTATAGGTATAAGGCGATTTCTCACAGGCACTTAAGTGTAAGCAATTTAGTGCGTGTTCTTTCCATCTACAGTGTATCAGCCAAGTTATTCCACCCTAACTCATTCACTATGTCATCGATGGAAGTTCTAATGTCAACTGATAGAATGATTCTACCTAAAACTATTCTGGAGAGTTTGAAGCTCATTTAAATATCTTGAGTGGTTTTTCATCCAATATTAATTTTTTTTTTTAATTTTCTTTATTATACTGGGAAAACATGTTTAGTAGTATATATACTGTTCTCCCACAGGGCCCAGTACAAAAAGACAATAACATTCACAATTCATAAAAACGTGCAACATACATAAACCAGAAAAAAATACATTAACATCTTAATCATAACATTTTTAAAATTGTTAGTTATAAAAGATCAATACGAACATTTATAAATATATTTAGAAAAATACAGCAGCAAAAATAGTTAGTTATTAAAATTATTATTATTATTATTATTATTGCTATTACTATTATTATTAGAATTAAACATTTTGCTGCCCCTGTAGGCAAACCTCCTCCTCCAGATTCGGTCCGACATTTGGGCAATGACAAATGTCCCGAAGAGCTAATCCTAGACATTATAAGTGTACTGTAAACATTTTAGTTATTATAAAGGTTGGAACTGTTTGAAATGGCGAATGACACCAATTATTTTTTTTATGAATTTTTAGATGAAGTACTTACGATATGAGTACCCCATGTTAAAAAGTACAAAATATTTTATAGATTAAATTTGTTTCGATATTTGGAAATGCCCTGGGTAAGGGTAAAGTTGGAATAAGCATTTATGTTTCCAATATCATAAATTTAGTTTTTGTTCCTTCTTGCCTACCAGCCTAAGCAAAATCAAATTTATGAATTAAGAATTCCACTAAAAAGAGTGGCCACCCCATATTTAAAGTAATATTTTAAAAGAGGCCCATTTAGATGAATGAGGCTATATTAGGGCCAATCACAAGATAGAAATTGAAATGAAAGCAGGCTAAAAAAAATGATAACCTGACCATGTGGGAAACTACTGCGGCTTACCTGCACATCAACAAGTGCTGCAACAGCACCCTCAACAGGTCCATTTAATGTAAGACTTTCAACCTTTGCATACGGATCATTAACAACCTTCACTTCAGCATAATCACCATCATAGTCTTTATCATTAGAATCTGTATTTTTGACCTCTGCATAAGGGTCATCACCCTTTACCTTTGCATAAGGGTCTTCCTTTTTCTCACCGACAACTGACTGTTCAGAGGTAGCTTGATCGGATTTAAGGTTTTCAACATTCTTTACAAGGTTTTCACCTTTTACTATTTCATAATCTGGATTCCGTTTTGACTTTGCACCATCTGCATCATTAACCCTCTGGTAATTTGGATCCATCGCATCTTTAATCATTTGATAATTTGGATCCTTTGAGTTCCCACGTTCTGGTATAAAGTCATACGTTTGATCAAAGTCTGGAGGGTTCACAATAGCAGGAACTCCAGTAGGCGGCGGGATTGCCGGTAGTCGCCTCTCAGACGTACTCATAGGCAATTTGCTCGCGAATGAAGGAGAGACTACGTGCTCACTCATGGGTCGTCTTGCAGCGGGATCTTTCGTTTTCTCAGGTTTCTTAGCAGATTGTCTTGTCGGAACATTGGTATGACTTCTTTGATTTTTCGACTGCCTACTAATGCCAGAGTTGCGATCAACCTCTGATAAAGACAGGTCCAATGTTTTTGGGGAATTACCATTAGGTGTTTTTGGTGGAGATGGAGCATCGATAAGCTTTAGCAGGAAACAAGAAAACAAAGTAATGAAGATAGTTTTAATTTAAAACATTTTCAGTGTTGAGTAATTTTATTATTATTATTAATGTTAATATGGTATAAGCCAAAGACCACAAAATGGCTTGTAAAAAAAATCAAATCAGCCCAACACAAATTCTTTTTAGCATTGCCGAAAATGGTGGAACAATACTTGAGGAAAGACATAATCTAAATTTGTAAATAGTAGTATTATAGTTAAAGCTCTGTCCCGAGTAACACATTTTATTTGACAAAAACATGTCAACATGTCTAAATATGGCATCACATACAATAGATATGTTTGTTATTAAGGTCCCACAAAACAATAGCGTGAATGTACGCAGAACACATGCATTTGTGGTGTAAACACATGTGTTTGTAGGACATGTCATGTGCATATTCCTGGTCTTAGTTCGAATTGGTCAGTTGTTAAGTTTGATTGACACGCCGGAGAGGTCCATTGCAATTACTATGTCACTCACTATAGTTGCAGCGTAATGTATGAGCTTGGGTTTGTCAAAGTTTCGAAACTCATGCCCAGAAACATTCCCAAGTCTGGAGTATAGAGCTGCAAACTTGGTGGGATCTACTTAACTTTTGAATCATATGAGCCTGGGTTCATCCAAGGCTGAATTTCTTAATCTTTGATCCTTTAAAAGCTGTGCCTGAAGTTATCCAACTTTAAGTGACAATTAAATGTGATATACCCATATTTGTATGTATGACAACATCTGTACATATATGGGCACATCACGAAAATTTGTCACGAAGATTATGATGTAGTGTATCAAAAATCATTTAAATCAGAAAAAAAAAACAATTTCTTATAATAAAATCATCAATCAGTATTATGGACATTTATTTTTACACAAACCTTCTTTGATGCCTCTTCCTGATTTTCATTAGCATCTGACTCCACATCGGGCTCTTGAATTTTAACACTGAAGAATCAATATTTCAACATCGTGTTTTAGTGAGTATAAAAACAAAGTCCTCAAAATTAGGCATTTCATAGGGAAATTTAAATGAGGCCCTAAAAATATTTTCACCTTGTTGAAATGTAGATAAAATACATAAAATTATCATAAAGAAAATTAATTTCTAGATATTCTGATTGGCTGCCTAGAAGCAATATTAAAAATTCCTAGATAATACTGCTGCCCACATAACATCGAGGACACGTAAATTTGATCACATATCTCCAGTGCTTGCAGATGTTCATTGGACCAGTGCAGCAATGGATATAATACAAGGGGTTGGTCCTGGCATACAATGCACAGCACAATCTGGCACCTGAGCTTGTGCAGATTTACTAGCCTACAAGAGCTCGTAGGTCAGGTGCCCAATGTCAGCTCGTTGTTCCAAAGACCAGAACATCTACCTGGCGGGAGAGCTTTTGTTGAAGCAGCTCCAACTTTGTGGAACTCCATACCAATGTCCATCAGACAGTGTGTTACCTTAAACTCTTTCAAATCCAAGCTAAAGACCTTTCTTTTCCATCAAGTTTTTCATTAATTTGACATGATATCCTTATTCTGTATTTTTATGTACAGCACATCGAGAGATTGCCTAATTGCGCTATATAAGAATGAACTACAGGTATTATTATTATTATTATTATTATAATTATTATTATTTATAACTGTAGAAATTTAACAATAACATTTAATATTTGAAATGCTAAACTACATAATATATTCACTTTTAACTGAAATATTATCCTACTATTGAACAGTGCTTTCAAAACAGATTCGCCGAGAGGGAACCTGGGCCCCGGGGCAACAGAGCTGGCCCTGAAATGAGAGGGGTCTGGATGCTGGCAAATGCCAATAAGTGGCGTTTAAGCACAAACTCTTCGGTCTGCAGTACAAGCTTTTTATATATTTAATGTTTAATTTAAACAATTACAGACACTACAGTGTAGATTGAAAAAAATTGCATGCCCCACCAACCCCACAGGTGTACCTAATGTTTTTGTATTATTTACAGACACTTTAGACTGGCTGATATGGGAAAGTGTTCTCATAGTAGGCTCTAATAATAGGCTATAAATCAGTGAAACCTGAAATGTTTCCGTCTGTGACAGTCTCAATGGTAATTATATCACAGATGGTAAATTTAATTTAATGTGAAAAAGGGCTTTAGGAAGATTTTTGGAGTAGGGGAGTATTGGAATAATTTCAAGGGAATTATACACAAACATTTTGAAGGATGTATATAATCTAGAGATAGTTGAAGAGTGAGGAGAACAGGTTACTGGTTTAACATGGGGAAAAGGAAATACTATACAAAGGTGAAGTACTGTACATTCCCAACAATGCCTTCTGTATGAAAAGGTCAGACCTACAGTATTGAAAGGTAAAGGAGAATAACCTATAACTTGCAGTTTCATTGTGCTGCACTGCATATGGGCGTGGTCTGTTGACTACTGTAGCCACTGTAAAAAGGTGCTTAGAATACAGCTACGTGTTCAAATCATTCTACAATGGCAGGGGCTGAAATGAACCATAGAATGGGGTAACCCCTACTTTTCTGAAAGATGCAATGGGTTCTTTAATGTGCACACAAGTCACATGTGTACACTGGACCTGTATAATATCCAAGAAGACTTGGTTTTACCAACCAAACTCCAAGAAAGTTTGAAGGACTAGAATCAGAAATTCTCTAGAAAAAATAGGCATTAAAGCACGCCCTCAGTCTGTGCATGATCCATACTGAAAGGTGTTCAATATTATGGCAATAACATTACCGCAACACTTTGTTGGTACTGTGTGAATGGTCCATTTTGGTAGGTGTAGCGGTAATTATTAACTATTGCCAGAGCCTCTATTTCAAAATTGCTTTTAGTGGAAAAGAAAAGCAATGACAAACTAAATGCAACAGTTGCCCTAAATGTATTTTTGTTATATTTAAGCGGCAAAATATCTAAATAATGTTAATACAATATTATTATGTATCAGCATACCTTTTTCTAGAGTGGGCACAAAGAAGCAAAGCCACCACCAACAGTGCACCACCTGCAACACTGAGCATACACAGACTGGCACCTGTTGCTACGGCGAACATCTTGATGTTCTACAGAGTACTACGGAGATACACCATACAGCCGTTAATTGCTTTTATATTATTCCTAGAACCTGATTCTGGGGGGAAAAAAAACATTAAACATAACTTTATAATGGGATAATTATCCTGAATATGATAAAAACCTAGTGCCCGTGCATTTAACATGCTACTCAGACTTTTACCTAAATTCTAGTGTATAAAAAATAGAGGATTTTCATAAACAAAGTCCCCTGTTTTTCAATCAAAATTTGCAATTTAATTTGTCTGATTAAATATTACTTTATTTATTCAAACATCCAACATCTGATCTTAAACAATAAAATATTATGGTCAAGGGCCAAATTTCATGTTATTTACAATATCTTTTAATGTTACATATTCACATTATAAAAAGGATTCATATTAAAATGACAGTTAAAATGATTACATACTAGAAAAATTTAAAAACTTGAAAAATCAAATAATTCTGAATATATCACTGTGTTACTGCAGAATTTCCAATATTAAAGGAAGTTGAAACAAATAAATTATGATAGCAATGTCAACTTGGCCTACATGGAATCTGAATAAATAATTACTGTACAAAGAAACAGGAACAATATAAACAATAAAATGTTGCACTCCAAATATTCAAGTGGACATTAATAGTGTGCCTGTATAAAAGTACATAATAATTAATTACTCATTTCTGACATTGTTTGTATTTAAAACACCATCAACACAATTTTATACCGAATCATCACACTTAAGACTAATTAATTTTAAAATGTTTTATTATTTAGTGGATTATTAAAATTTATCATCACTACTATATACTACAAGATTACAGTAGTTTCAATTTGCTGAATTTGAGGAGTCTCAAATAATCATTATATATTCAGCACACATACGCAAACTTGCGTACGCTAAATATATTGATCGTCCCACAGTTGAAACTGTCAGATGCAAAAAAATTCTTCCTTTTAAAACGACATCTTGTCTTTGGAGATTTGCTCCTTATGTGCATTGATACATCCACATACCTAAAGCATGTTACGTCAATGCGTATGGCCATTGGAGGAAATATCCTCAACGGTGGATTTAAATATTTCATTAGTAAAAATGAACAGGTAAATTATATATTTAAATGAATCTTTCATGGAGAGAACTGTTGTAAAGGATGATTATAATAGATAACTTGCTGGTTTAATCTTAGCGAAGTTAATTAAAATTATTAATGAAGTTTATATTTAATGGATGGAATATCTATCATTAAGCTAACTAGCCTAGTAATGTGTGCCATTTTTGTTCTCACAACTAAGAATGAGTTCATTCGTCAACGACAAAACTGTGAAAGTAATGTTTTTGCAGTGACACTGCAAAGGCAGCCCTTCCAATACATTTTGAGTAAAAAAACAACCACTCTGAATAGCTACTTTCCTATTTGGGATTAATGGATGCCTGGAAATTCTTTTCCACCACTCTTTTTGTAATTTTTTTTATTGGTAGACACATAAAAAGACTGTAGATCTTTAGACTGATCAACATACTGTACATGCAAAGCCTCCAAGAGCCACAGAAGGGGTGGCCATTCTACAGTAGGAGCACACGACCCTTCAAGAAATGCAGTACGCCCCAGGTGCCCCCAACCACTCACAATTTGCTGAACAAAAAAACTAGAAAAAATACGATCAAGCATTCAAAAATCACCTCATCACCTTTAATTTGTCAAGTACTGTTAAGTACTTCCTCATGCCATAACTTACCCTTACATTCCTACAGTAGATACACCAGCAGAGATCCCAAGTTTGAAAACCAAAAAATAGGGAGATTTTTTTCATGAAGCTATCGCCTCCTGTAGCGACGCGCTGTGACGCCTTACAACGCGCTGTGCAACATGAAAGTATTACACAAAATGACGAAAACAAACATTTTTCATGAATTTGTTTACTTTTATTTAACAATTTTACATTTGTTTACACATTGCAGTTGGCCAAAAATATAAATTTATTATTATTTATTTAGCATTTAGCTAGTAAAGCGTTCTTGGCAGCAGTCAACAAGGCTTTGCTTGGTTCATTGGCATGTTAGAGGCTACGGCTGATTTATTACATCTCATCAAAGAACATAGAATTCTAGCAAGGTAACTGCAACTTGCAAGATTCACACGTTTTACTGAAAAATTAA